TTCCAAACTTAAAATATGCAATGTCTTAGTATAGAGATAACTAATTCTGTTATGAGGTTGACTAGCCTCAAGAAGAATCCCTGAAGAATAGAGGTGAAGAAATGATTTATTTTGCTGAAAGTTTGTGTCATGAAGCTTTGAATTAGAAACAATTAGTATTTAAGTCATCAAAGGCTTCATTAAGATGGGAAGTTGGTGACTGGAAAGTATGACATACTAATTGTTTTTGGCATTAAAAAATGTAGAAGTCATATTATTAAGATTATTTGGAGTAAGAGGGAATTAACTTTTGATGCAGAGGATTTGTTACAACCATCTATAAACAAACTAAGGTGGAGTATCAAAATGGATAATCTACTCCAGTCATAATGATTTCCATTTCCGAAAGTGTTTCTTGAATGAAAACAAGGAATTTAATGGCTTCTACTCCAGGCATAATGATTTCCATTCTCGAAAGTGTTTCTTCACAAAAACAAGGAATCTAATGACTTATAATCCATTTATTAAATGCTTGCAAAGAGAATGATATTTCAAAATTTGATAATTCAACAAATGAGGTTCTTGATTCATGGATACACAATGTTCATATCGTATCAGCTCTCATTCACAATGGTTTAAATTAAACAGCGTATGATGATTGACATGGACCATCCATTTTGATGGCCTACCACATTTCTTGAGGAAGTGGTATAGGAAATTATCTACAACTAGTAGCTCGTTCCTGTTACTCGCAATGTTATAAATTCTTTAATTGCATGTACATGTTCGGATGTTCCGTTTTTGCACATGATTTGATTTGGATTATCATTTGGGCAGAAACCAACTTAAGTGTACACCTTATCCATCGAATCTAAGTGATTCTGTCAGGTTGAATTCAGGACGCAGAAATTTCAGCTTGTAAATCTACCTGTAAATAATCGACGGTGTTTTATTTCATGTCAAAATCAGTCCTGAATTGGGCCCAATTCTTCAAGTGAAATTCTCAGCCAAACTCTCTTTCCTCTCTATAAATAGGCCTCGACGCAGCTCAAGTCATCAACCCCGTTTCATTCTTCTATCACAGTCACAGTGGCCTCAAATGTTGAATACCTTCTCTCTTCTCCTGTTAAAAGACATAGCATCCCATGCAAATTAAGCTCTCATCATTACGCTTTCTTTAGCAACTACCATTCCTTTTGCGTCTTTCCTAGTCATTCAATTCTCTACTACCGACACAATTGCTTCTCTATGTACCAACTCTCCCACACCCTCAGTCTGTCATGCCATTATTTCTGATGTCCTCTCCCACTCCAACCCCAAACACAGCCCTCTTCGTATTTTCAAATCTCTCGTCCGTCAATCGTCGATCAGACAGTCGAGTGAGCCTCTGGCCGAGTAGACAGCCGAGTAGATGGTCGAGCCGACTATTTGAGGAGTTGTCTCGATTATGAGGCGGGCGGACTCTTGAGGAGTCGTCTTGATTATGAAGGGTCGACTGATCCCACGCTTTGCGTCAGTAAAGATGACTCGTCGCTCGGTGGGTTAATAGATTTGTTTTTGGCTGGGCTTTGGGCCGCTAAGCTGGCTTGGGCCATAGCTCTTTCGGGCCTATGAAGATAGTTTCTCGATATTTTTATCTTTAAATGGCGAATTACCATAACACTTTCTTTCCCTCAAATTTATCCTCTAAAGTAAAAGGCAGGGAGTTTACTTACAATATTCTCTCAAATAATTAGAAATATCTAATCTACCCCTTACTTAGAAAGATTAAATTAAAGATTGTTGGTAACAATTAATCATGCCCCTTATCCTTTCTCTCAAACCAAACTTTTGCCCCCTTCTCTGTCCTAGAGCGGAAAAATATTCTGTGGCGACCATTCGAACTGCTCTATTGCATCCAATTATCATTCTCTGGAATTTATAGGCTAGCAAAGAGAGCATAAAGTGAAATATTGAGGGCATGGGTTTTTTGTTCAAGAGTAAAGTATTGTGGAACCATTGCTTAGAATCCTCAATTGAAAGGCAATGGCTGACATCAACATCACATTGTGGTCTATAGTACTGAAGATACGCCCAACAAAAACAGACTGCTTGACGATAATCAGAGAGATGAATCACTGAAGATACATCCTCAGTTGACTTTGCATTAGAAGAGACATCGGGTTTGAACGAGACTCGCTGATGGTTATGTCTTATGAACAACAACAAGCACTTCGTTTCCAGCAATTAAGGCAATTTCATGGTGCGCGAGAAACAGTAACTAATGTGAACAAGTATCTCAAAGTATAGGGGATTTTGGGAGGTTGATGGTTTTCTCTTCTCAAACCTTTCAGACATGGATATCAAGGTAATTCTATTTTAAAAGGTTGTTAAAGTTTTAATAAGAATCAGATTGAATTAATTTTGAGGGAATGCAACAATCTGAAAGGCAAATAAAAAAAATATAATGATTTGGAGGGGAATTTAGAAATATTTGGAGGGAATCTCTAAAAAACCCATTAGAGTTATGTTATTTGTTAGTGGAACTTTTGGAGGGTATATATCTAAAAAAACCCATTAGAGTTATGTTATTTGTTAGTGGAACTTAACACGACTACATTATGAATTTGGTAAACGCTGCCTGTCCCCTGCTTAAGTGCAGAAGAATGAGTAAGCTCAGCAGGTACATGGTTTCAATTTCATTTGGATAAACTGGAGAGGCTAAACCAAACATAGCAAAAATATCACTTTCTGACGACCATATCATTAAATTGGAAAACAAGAACACCACAACGGCCAACAACAAACAAAGCCTTTATCCCAAACAAACAACTTCAAAACATAGAGATTAATTTTCTTTTCTCCATTTTTTGCATTTTATTAATTTGAAGGAAGCTTCAGAGTAGAAGCTTCCTGTATTTGCAGCAATACAGATACAACAGTGGTTGTGACGATGGTATAATCAGAGTGTTGTGTGTGTACAATGAATTAAGACGAATACAACATCATCATACATATCATTCGGGCTCAAGCAACAAACAATATGATATCTTGGATTTTTCGTGTAATAATAGTTAATTTGGAGACGTCCACGCTGACAACAATTATGAAAAAAACACCCTGCTGCGAGTAGCAAGATGAAGAATCCAGGATGATGGAATCGTAGCTTTATTTCATCAATTATGATTTCTTGGCCTGTAGAAAAAGTCATGCATTTAAATTTAAAATCACATAAACGTGCACTAAACAAGTGAAAATTATAAGGCATGAAATAAGCCACTACAGTATGAACCCATAATAACATGTGAATGTGGTTCAAAATAAATTTTGTTTAACTGTTACTTCCAGAACATGAACTGCTTCTCTTTCTGAGTACATAGAAGTGGATACACAAGATTCTGTGAAATGTAAACTATATTTGACAAGTGATCTACCAGGGAATTTGTCAAATTTGAATATGCTAGAGTAACATGTCGGTTATGGTATTTGACAAAAATATCTATTAAAATTGAGGACAAAGCTTATGAGATACATTGGTGAAACTAGGGATGACTAGCCATAAGGTTTATTGCCATATTCAGAAACCATATGAAAGACCATGAAGCATAACAAAAGTTTGATGGATAATTCTTATTTGCGTCATTGCATGATTGTTTGTTTATCGAATATTGAGCTACTCAATATCGGCCCATTACTTTCTGGAAATGCATCAGAAGGATTAAGATGACTAATATTTCTGTCCACTGTTCAAAAGAAAAAAGGGGAAAATCCATTTACTACAGAAACTGGCCTAAATTTTTGTCTGGAAGCTGTCTCAAAATGACCCTAGCACTGACCATGGCAGAGTAAACATGCGTCTAAAATCAATTTGATGTCATAGTTAAGAACGGAAATAGCTTGAAAATTTTGCATTCTAATATGATTTTGTTGAAAATTTTCCCTTACCTTTTTCAAGTACTTCTTGTGAAGTTTCAGTGCTCCACTACAAGCTTTTTTAGCATCCAAGTTTCCAGTGATGTCATTCAAAATCTGATGGCAAAACAAACAGATGCAAAGAGTGGGAAACATTTTGTCAAATTTTGAAAATATAAAATCATAAAGACTTGATGAAAATTGCAATAACAAATCTTATTAAAGATAAGTATATCGAATCATAAGGAAAACATATTTGACCTAACGTTGTATCTTACGATGATTTATGACATATGATGGCCCACAGATCAATATTTCCATCTTGACTTACTGACTTTGACTTCTTACATAGGTTGGCTTTGAATCTATGACAAACTTGGCCAAACCATTCTATCAAGTCTGAGATACTATGCAACAAATCATTTTCCCAAAATTTCTTTCTAACTTATTGTTCGAAAATCTAAATGCAATGTCTGAAATGATTTTATTATATACCAAGTCATTCAAAGTGACATTTATTTTAAATTAGGACCATCTTTTGCTTTTGTTGACTTGATCAGCTGAATGAACAAAATCATGATCTTCTCTAGAGTTGTGGACATTTGCATCCAAAATCAAGCCTATTAAGGTTAATGTACATAGCTCCGATATATATTGACTTGAACATATCTAGATTTTTTCATGTTTATTTCTAAAACAGATCACAAAGAACTTTTCAAAGCGCCATCAACCTAGCTTTGTTTTTACCTTGACAACATCGTCCAAGCCTCTTGCTTCTTGCAGTAGCTTTGCGCTTTTGTCCTTGAGGACACTAGCAACAAGAAAAACTGTAATTGGGAGTGGAGCATCAATTTTGGACCTCATATTTTCACGCTCATACTTGCCAAGCTGGCGAGTTGATTTTACTTTCCCTTTAGATCCATCCTTTTTGTCATTTCCAACCCCCACATCTTGGGCTTCATACACAGAAAAGAAGTCAGGGTCATATTCCAGAGCCCACATCATCTGTATAGAAGTTTGTAAGATTAGACATCAGAATGGAAACAAATGAAAATACAAATTTGAGGTGAAACATATTTTGAGAGTGACCTTGAAGGAAAAAATAGAGATTAGTGGCTATACATACCTGTATTTATTTAAGGACGAATTCCATAAACACCCCCAAATTTTGGCCCATTTTGATTTATCCCCAAAACTTTTGGCAATGGCGCAATTTCTTCAACATGCTTCCTAAGGGTGCGATGGGGATTTTCTGAAATTTTATCAGAAGTAAGGGGGATTTTCGGAAAATAATGCTGAAAATTGGGGGTTTTCTGAGCATAGCGTTGATACTTGGGGGTTCTCTGGAAAATAATGACCAAAGTTGGGGGCATGTAGAAGTAATCTGGGGGTTATGCTGTATGCGTGGTAACTTGAAAAGTCTTCAAACACTATAGGCGTTTTGTGGCCAGCTAAAGTTTTTTTATTTTGGACAAAAGAAAACCCTTTAAAGCATCCTCAGGAAGGCTATTTATTTCTCATGTACTCCAAGCTCATTAAAACCTAGTCAACCTTTCAAAAATTTCGAGCTAAACATGAACCTCAAAGACATGATACTTCATGAAGTTTTGCTATAGAGAATTGAATTTTTTTCCTGAGACATAATTTCAGCTAAGGTCATAAGGGCCATGCTGACACATTCTCTTCATGATTTTTTTTCCCAAAAGAAAGAAAATGATTCAAGAAGTTAAGGAACAAGATATACAAATAATCTAGTTATTCACATAATAATCATGACATGTCAATTGGCAAAGCAGATAAAGGAAAGTTGAGTAAGACATCTGGTAGATGTTCTATACACATTTAGATTTCATGGTTCTCACCTCCCAAAGAAACAAAGAATCTCCAAATGAGAACTCTCGGCGAAATAATACCATAAACATACGAAATGCGAATAGATAATCACCCCCACCTAGTGTTTCTGTGTTCAAAGACAAATTGAAGTTCATCAATACTTTAAAAATAAGGGAAACAGTTGCAAATCAGGATGCAAACAAAGCGTGAAACTTGATGAGTATCCTCCCATCTTGAGAATGAAAATAGAATAATAAGTGCAACAAGGTTCATAACTACCCAAGAACAAAATAGGCCAAAATGAGGCAAGTCTACATTAATGAGATTATGGACATAACAACTAGAACATACCAAGGTGCTGATGAAGCTTTGGGTCAAGAACTTGAGTTATTTCAGCTAAACTTTGGAGTTGACTCTCGACCCCGACAGATTGGTTTGTGCATCTGAAATTTCCTCGCTTTAAAATTTCAAATAACAATTTGAATTAAAAACAAGATGAAGATCAACAGAAAATAAACTATTAATATTCAATTATATAAGACAATCATCGGCAGAGAATACTATGAGGTCATGATTATATCTATAGCAAATCCAATAGTTTTGAGGCAGTAATTGATTTTGCAGAGTCAATACGTACAAGTTCATTCAAGAATATAGATCCTGATTTGGTATCAACTTTACTGGTCTCAGCTTTGTATGAGTGGCAGAACAACATGTAATAAGTACATTAATTGAGTAATATGAAATGACCTGTTAATGTACTAAATTCTACAAGATGATAAAACTTCCATTCATGTTAAATGCTAGAGATGCATGAACGAAAATTGAAATGCATAAAGCTCTAGAAAATAAAGTCTTGGTAAAGAAATATACCAATCTGCGCATCAAGCGCTCAAAACAAAAAAACGAATCTGCTTCATTGTCGAGAATAATTATCATCGGAGAGCAAATATCACTCATTCCTGTAAATAACCAGAAGTTATAAACACTATCTTGAAATAATATATTACAGATGATATGATATGATTACGAAATAAGAAAGAGAACATCCTAGAGGAACCTAGTATATGAATTCAGTAGACATGATGTTCCCCCTATGACTTGCAAAATGATCAAGCTACTCATGCATGAATTCAGAAGGATCTAGCATAAAATGCAACCTATTGATTCCGGTCAATACGAGGCACAAATAACAAATTGGTATAAATGAAACACACTATCTATTCAGATTTTTATTTCTATATATGAGATTTAGTATCTCATGATAATGACTCCACATTACTTGCAAGTGAATATATTGTCAATTACCTTGACAGTAGCCAACATCTTTGTCAATCCAAGCATAGACAGCAAGAATATCCCACAGTTTTGAGAGATTTTCTTGCTTCTCGTAAAACACAAGTGTTCTGTCAGTGCGAAGCACGTCAAGACCTGTCATGTCAAATCAATTCCATGAGAAACTAGTGGAATTTGAAAGGAATATACTAAATTCAGTGATTTGCTAACTGTAATAAGGGGGGAATACAATTGTGTTGAAATGTATGTATCCTATAAACTCAGTCCTAACATGACATGATTTTTAAAAAATGAAAACATATACATCGGCGATAAAGGCTAAAGCCAATAAGAGAAATGTCTCAATTGGACAAACAAACAGGGTGTGAATATTAAGTTTTCAGTGTCAACATTAAAAAATATCATGTTCTTGCTACACATCAGCTATTAAAGAAATTATACTCAGTTACCAATAGATGCATCCAAAAGCAACCAAAATTAACAATTAATTTCTAATCCTTAAAACCACCAAGAATTGAAACGTTCAATTATTTCTACTCCTTAAAACCACCAAGAACTAAAGTAATTATTTCTACTTGTGACATAGCTGAAGTAGTGCACAACTAAGGAAAAGATCAAATTAATGCTTACCAATTTGATGTAATGTAAGTTTCCATTGGATTATTTTTTTGTCTGTAATGGGAGGAGCTGTGTCCACATGGGAATTATTGCTACTAAGATTCCCGTTGCTTCCTGAAGCTTGAGCCCCTTGATTTGGAACGGCTTGAAGCAGCACCAAAGGATCTTGAATAGGTTGACCATCATCTGTAATAATTGGAGCTGTAATAATCTTACCGCTCCCAACATGAGAATCCATCTCACGACACTCTTCCTTCCATCTAGCATATTGTACTCTGCACAAAGTTATCAATTGGACTTGCTCTTGAGTGGCTTGTTGAAGGAAAGTACGTGTATTTGCAGCCTAAAAGGAAAGAACTATCATACTTTACAAAATGGAAAGGACACAAATCATTGTGTTATTTTTCTACAAAAATATTTCCATAAGTAGTTATTATTCTAAACTTATAAGCATCTTTTTAAAGGGTTATTTAGATATTAGTCCCTCAACCTTTCAATAATTTCATAAAAGCTCAAATCTTTGAAATAGCCCATATGTCCCTCAAATCCTAAGGAGTCTCACAATTTGGTCCTTCAATGCTCAAAATACCCCTCAACTAATTTGAACAATAGGGGTTTTTGAGGGGAAACATAATATGAGAAGTATTTATGGTCATTAAGGGACCAAATTTCAAGAACCCTTAGGATTTGAGAGACTTATGAGCAATTACAAAGATTTGAGGATAATATGAAATTATTAAAGATTAGGGAACTAATATCTAAATAACCCGTTTTTAAAATAAGCATATTGGATAAACGTTCATGGAATATTTTCCTAGGCCCTTTGACTTATGACGTGCTACAAAGAGGATACAAGTTCCTATAGCAAAACTTATCATCTATCCATTCTAGATTCTTTCCTTGTCCAGGAAACATTTTGGCAGGCTGTATCTTGGTTGCATGAACTTCCACGACAGCGCTCCACAGTTCATCAGTCGACCGTTCTTCAAATTTTATGATAAGTTCCGAATCCAAGATGTGGCCTTTACGTTGTACAACACAACCGCCAATGGTCTAGCTGAAGTATTCAACAAGACCATAATTAAGCTTCTCACCAAAACCAATAAAGTAAGTCTTTCACCACCTGCGAAGTTTTTGAAAAGTCCCCTCTTGTTCATAATTTCCTTGCTCAAGAAGTCAATACTAACTGAGATTGTTGGGCATCAACTTGAGCGTGACAGAAAGTTGACCTTCCACCATAAAACTTTGTCAATTTTCCTAAGGAGTTCCTAATATACAATGAAGCTCCACAACCAACCAATTGATGAGGTTGCTTCTATATCGATCAGCGCTATTTTGGCTACATTCTCTTATTTTCTCATCTTTGCATCAATAGCATCTTGGTTTTCTTCTTTATCTTGTGAAATTCTCAGTAGATACCAGTTACAAGTATGCAGTTTTGCTGCAACATTTTGCAATTGTAATGATTGGTTGTTTTCTGAGTCATTTAATACCTTTACAGTGTACCATCAAGTGTCAAGCTTTGGCCTTTTTTTGTGCTGATCAAGCTGGTGCTGTTACAACTTGCAAATCAGTGTTCTTCGAAGGCAATGTATGCTTTAATGGTAATTTCCTAAAATATTTGGAACCCAAAAAATAGGACATAGCTTCATGTTTGACAGCTGACATCGAGTATCAATCATTATGTTAAATTGTTAATATTCTGAGTTGTTGTGGCTTTAAATGGGTTAGATGCAGAACATACATGGCTGAAGCACACACTAATATTCTGGATTTCAAGAGCTAAAGCTTGAAATCCAGAAGTAAAAAAAGGAAAAAGAAAACTTTAGAAGCAGAGCATACATGTATGAAGCTTAAAGATGTCAAGAAAATTTATCACAGGAAAGGAACTACCTTCGTCTTTGTCTTATTTGATCTCGCTCTTCAAAGGTGCTTCCAGGATCAAAACAGCCAAGTAGAAACTCCCAAACTTCTCCTCTAATTGAAGGATGAACACCCTAATCAGATAATGTTATCAGGAAGCAAAATATTTAAATAACAGTATCCAAATTGGATATAAGTTAAAATTTATCCATGTGAGTTAATATTTATCCATATAATAATATAAGTTAAATTTTACCCATATGAGTTTGTAGCCAAACACGCAATTGCATCTGTTAGGATGACTCAGTGTATTAATGCTCCAACAGACAGAGAGAAATTGGCTACAAGTTGAAGATTTATTTTCTTATGCAATGTTAAAATGTAAGCACTCGAATAAAGTGCAGAATAAGTCTGTGCCACCCAGCTATTACCTTCCTACTATCTACTCTCCGCGATTGTCTAAAGATACTTTAGTGAAGGATAAAGTGAGAGTAAATTTCTCAAGGTACGATACAGCAAAGAGGTAGGTGATTAACCAAAGGCCAGTTAGATTCTACAACTCTAGCATCCATTCATGATCAACAGAGACAACTATATTCGAGCCACTAAATTGAATCACAAGCCAATGAGTATATCTCACACAATAATTTATCGAGCATCCAGTTAAGAAGTTATTGAAAGTGAGAAATTGGAGTATAAACAACTTGATGTCACTCAGAAAGATGGTGGATGGAAACTAATCTGCATAGAGGACGAATACCTATAAATTCTTGTATTATGATTCAAATATCGAGACCAAGTCTATATATTAGAAATCATTGAGATCAGGAAACTGATGTAAGATTAGGAATCAATGCTATACATGGTTAACCTTTTATTAAGGACTCTAGCAATTAGTTTAATCACAGGAAGAGGGAGAGGTTCCCTTAGCTAGCTCCAAAATATATTCAAATCAATTGTGTAATGAAATCCAAAGAAACAGAGACGGTTATCCCAGAGTTCACAGTCATAAATTGGGGGTTTGACTTGTGAGATAACTACGATATCCTACAAGTTTAAGTAATAAAAAAAACTATGTGATTGTAACCATGCCATAATGTGAAAGCTAAATAGATCAAAACATGTTACTTACTCCTCTATGAATTCGAGCAAGAGTTGGTCCTATATCTAAGTAACCCTCTGAACTAAATGCAGCCTGCCATCTTCTTTGGCTAAGAGTCTTTCCATTCTGCGTTAACAATGAAAAACATATAAACGTCTGAAAAAAGCAAGTTTCACGTAAAAGAAATCAAGCCACAAAGAAAATTTTAACTAATCCCATTTACTCTCTGAATATGCAAGATTGAATAGTATAAATGAAACTTTTGTCCAGAAAAAGGAAACAACTAATTGAATTTATTAATTTATGTTTCCTTTGTGAAATAATGAGAAGTCTCCTTACAGATCACCCACTGTTTTCATAAGAAATCACAACAGTGTTGCAAATTTACATCGAATGTAGCTAAATAATAGAGAGAAACATGCAAAGATCTCTAATTTCTCGTTGTCAATAATTTCTCCCTCCCAAATGAAAAATGCTACAGCTTTAAATTATATAAAAAAACCCATGAATAAAACACATTCCTTTTTATATTCACAGCTAAAGTTTCCATATAATGGAATTAAAATGAGTTTTCACAAACTACAGCCAAATTTCCATATAAAACAAAACATTAAATAGAACCCAACAAAAATTCCATAAAATCAAATAAAATGGATAAAAAATGGAACCTTGATCTTAAAATTTGTCTTTGGCACATCATTGCACTCAGCCCGGACCTCATAAAAAGAATCAGTAGGAAGTCCCGGATCCCTCCACATCTTGTATACAAATCAAAACCCAAAAAGTCTCCCCCTTTCCAATAAGTTATCACAAAAATAAACAAACCCACAAAATATTCTACAATACAAAGGAGCCCCAGCGATCGAAATGGATCCAATCAAAAGAGATGTTATCGTGGGAAGCGGAAGAGACCCAAATCGAGCGCTAGGGGAGAGGGATCAAAATAAGGGGAGATGAATTTGGAGAAGAGAAGAGGAGGAGGAGGTTGAGGCCATTTTGGTAATTTCCGGGGGATAGAATGAGTTGTCTTAATTTTAGTGCTGGGTTGGGACAAGGAACAAGGAGACCTCCGACAAGGGTGGTGGTGGGTAAGTAAGTTATTATTATTATTATTATGACTATTATTATTATTATTATTATTATTTCGCTTTATATGAATTTGGCTGCGGTTGAGGAAGAGGAAGAGGAAGAGAGAGTGGAGTCCCACCTCCATCCATTTGGCTTCTGCAGGGAAAACAACGATAATACCAACAATTAACAAACATATAAAACGGGACATATAACAGAGTTTTTTTTATTTACAAGGGTAGATTGCATATAATAACCGTTCCTCAACTATTTTACTAGCGGTTTAAAAAAAAACTATTTTACTATCGCGTATCACACTTAAATTTACATTTTGCAAGAGAATAGATGCATGTAACCCCCCTCTCCCCAGTGAATTAAGAGCTGACAAATAGTTAGTGAAATAGTTGAGAGGTGATAAGTATTGATGTGCTAGATGCAAATTACCCTTTTATAAATTGTTTCTTGTGATAGAGACATAAAAGAATATTGATACTCATTGAAGTAATTCTCATTCATGCATACTAAATACAAATATAGACAGCTAAATATTTTTATATCCAAGCCAATACGGATGTGGATATCATTTTACATTGGGTTTTTTTTTCGATATTAATCTTTTAAGTCATCACTATTTTGTATTCGTCCTTCACAGCTTAATATTTTAATATTAGTCCCTCAAATTGCATTCCTATTTTAATATTAGCCCCTTTGTTAAAAATTCTGTTCACCACCACCCTGAACCTCCCCACTGCTCCTATCACCCTCCCCGTCTTCATCCTCTTTGTCATCATCACCTTTTTCTTTAAGGGGGGTGTTTGTTTTTTATCCCAAAATTTATGGATATGGATTTCACCATAGAATTTAAAATTCATAAAAATTTTTACATGTTTTGGGATCTCTAAAATTTTGTTTGTTTCATCAAAATTTTGGGATTTGGAATACCAAAATTTGTAATATTTTATTTGTTTCATCAATATTTTGGGATTTGGAATACTATAATTTGTAATATTTTATTTGTTTTATCAATATTTTGGGATTTGGAATACTATAAATTATATATTATAATATTATATAATATTTTAATAACATATATTATTATAATATTATATAATATTTTGGGATTTGGAATACTACAGCATGAACAGTGATTATTGGGTCCTTCTATATATATTATATATTATATATATAATATTATATATATATTATATATTATAGATATAATTTATATAATATATAATATAATATATATAATATATTATATATTATATAATATATATATTATATAAAAACAAACAACTACAGAATAAAGAAGCATGCTTAACTTCAACAGCTTGAAGACAAATCCTAATTTATTTACAGCTATTATATATTCAAGGGGGCTTTAGTATATACATCCATCTGTTCGATCTCCAAAAAATATCAAGTAATTTCATTTGCATATTTCCATGATTATGAAGCTTGTATCTTCAAGCGGTATTGCACATATGTGTTCTTACGTTAAGAGCAGCTATATGGATCACAGTTAGATTTTTATTTTATAATTGGTGATAAAATTTGATTAAATCATCAAATTGATTAATGTTTTCATGTCAAAATTTTTGTTTGGTAACTCATTGTATGCCTTTGCTGAAACGAAAATTTGTCATAAATTGATTAATGCTTATGGTGTTAATATACATGTCTATATACATATGCATATGATTGTGTATACATATATATGTATTCATAAGCATGTATATGCAAGCTAAACTATATATATATATATATATATATATATATATATATATATATATATATATATATATATATAGAGGAAACTGTATATGCACTGCCAGTTCACTGTCTACGTGCGCTGCAGGGGTTTTATTGCAAAAAACCCGCAATTTCCTCCGTCAATTAATTCCTCTCTCCTGAAATAAATCGCTTTATCTCAAACGCTCCCCCCCAAATCCCTTGACCTTCTCTCTCTCTCCCCCAAATCTATTTCTTCTCCACTAAAATCCCCAATTCCATGCAGCTCATCTCTCTCCTCGTCCTTAAAAACTTCATCGGAGCCGTCTAAAGCCGCGAGAGAGAACGCCGTCAGCCGCCGTCAGCCGCCGCCTTCGCCTGCTCTCGAGATCCGTCGCCTTCTCTCGAGATCCGTCGACTTCGCCTGCAATAGAGCCGTCGTCAGCCGCCGCGAGACTGCTCTACAACAGCGCCGGGTCGCCGTCGTTCCACAATCACAACAACAAGCGTTCTTTCATCAAGTGAGTCGATTGATCTTTTTAAGTTTGCGGAAGCTTGTTAAGGCGGTAATATTAAAGAAATTTCTCCCCCCTAAAGAGGCTCAGCAGCAAGCGTTCTTTCATCAAGTGAGTCGATCGATCTTTTTAAGTTTGCGGAAGTTTTTATTTTAGATGCCTATAATTACTGTAATCTTGTCGTCATACGTGAAGATTTACATTTAAAAAGACAGTTTACTCTTGTGATCTTTAAGTTTGCGGAAGCTTGCTGCTATTTGATAAAGCCAGAAAGTTGAGATCCAATTGTTAGCTAATCACGTAGAATGAGTTTGTTACATGCCTATAACTTCCATAAATTATTGTTCCCTACTAGTTTTGAAGAATTCACTCACTGGTTGTGGTAGTTTACAAAAACCAGTGAGGCAGGTAGTTTACAAAACCAGTGATAGACCTAAAGCTGTTTATGCTGTCGCTAGATGTTTGATTTACGTGAGTAATTCGGCAATTTCTCCCATTTTTTCTTACGCGCTGTTAGTCAGATTTTCTAGATGTTTTTATTGGTACCTGGAGGCTGGAATAGACGATCAATTTGGCGAAGTATCCTACGGGCTTAAATCACGGTGTAATCTCTACATTGCTTCCAATCAACTTCTCAGAAGGGGTAGAGTCCTGGTGGTAAATAATGGTATTATAAGTTTGGTTCCTTTTTTGGAGTCACCATAGGAATAACTGGATATTAATTTGCAATTTATGAACTTTATGATTTCATTTGTCAGTTTTAATTGTACACATCTTTATGTTAAATTCCATACAACCCCATATAAGTTTGGGTGACTTTGACATAGCTCAAAACTCACTGTCACTATGGGTTTTTTTGGAACTATTTTGGACCAACGAATTAAAAGCAAAATAATTGGTGCGCATTTTCTTTAGTAACTACTATAACTAGAATCTAAATGCTAACTTTGTATTCCTAACCACAATTATAATACTAAGTTTGTTTTTCTTGAATTTATTTTCTTCCTTAGGAGTTCGGAATGGAGTCAGAAAATTCAACTACTGTAGAGTTCAGAATGGGAGAATCAAGCGTCATCGGAAGTGGAATGGGAGAATCAAGGTATAATTAATATTTTTTCATGAAACTTTTTTTGTTTGATTAAATTCTCAGTAGTGATTATTTTGTAATGTGATTTGCAGCTAAATTCTCGGTGATGATTCAAATTTTCTCGGTAATGAAGGGCTTAATATTTTTGAGGTAATGATTTGCAGCATATGTTTACACATATGTCTCGGTAATGAAGGGCTTAATATTTTTGAGGTAATGATTTGCAGCATATGTTTACACATATGTGAAGGCTGAATATAGTTTAATGCGCTCAATTCTCGGTAATGATTAAAATTTCTTCTCTTGTATGCAGCTATCTTGTAAAATCCGAGTGAATAGCATCAATGGTGGGTGGTTGGAACATAGGTTGAGCATTCTCTTTTATGCAGCTATCTTGTAATGTGATTTGGGCTTATATTCAGCTACTTTGGTTGTAATTTTGGAGGTTAAGTCTTTCTTTGATGAAACTCTGTTTGATGTTGTAACTCATGATGTAACTCTGTTTGATGCTTGTAGCTTTGCTGTAGCTCATATTCAGCTAGCTATAGCTCAATTCTCTTTTATGCAGCTATCTTGTAATGTGATTTGAGCTTATATGCAGCTATCTTGTAATGATTATTCAGCTACTTTGGTTGCATCTGTTTCTTGTGATTTGAGCTTATATGATTTGCAGCTCAATCCTGGTACTTATTTTTCAGCAGGGTAGTACTTTGGTTGCATCTGTTTCTTGTGATTTGAGCTTATATGATTTGCATCTGTAATTGCTGTGAAGGCTTTGAGTTGTTAGATTACGCAGAAGCATGTTACAGAAAACAAACTTTTCTTTCCTGTACCTGATTGGAAGATTTCGATTAAGCTAGTAATTCTCCCATGAATGTCCAGCGAATGTGTGATTAAGTCAGCAACCAGCAATTCTCCCATGAATGTCCAGCGAATGTGTGATTAAGTCAGCAACCAGTAATTCATGTGATTAAGTCCAGCGAATGTGTGATTAAGTCAGCAAAAATGTCCCTTCAGATTATTAGAAT